CAAACAACTGCAGTTGTAAGCGGGATTTGAAGCAGCACTTCATAAAGAATTATCTCCTGATATTTTTCCGGATTCTTACAGCATCGTCGTACCGTTTCCTTTGTTTCTATCAGCCTAGCAGATTAATTAGCAAGGTGATAATAGCGAGGCTTACGTTTCTGTAATTATGAACTGTATATTTAGGCAGCATCGATATAAACTGCTTACAACATACATGCTGATCATTTTGATACGTGCGATCGTTTTGGTTTACGTTTTTCTCATGCGAAAATTTACAGTGATGTTTTTTTCACACTGTTGTCATGTAGCTCTCAATGTTCTTTATATTGATCTTCTGTGTAATCTAAACATTTAAGGATTTGCATACTGACTAGTCGATTATGCAAATTTGCGCACTTTGGATCTCATAATGTTATAAAAACAGTTTTTGAGCACGGCTGTATGACATCACACTTCGTCTTAGCAGCATGTTATGTTTCAGAACTCCATTTTTGTCTACTTAATCGCGCTCTGAATTATAACTTTTTTGAGGTCTCTTAATTCACATTAGTTGGGGGTACGGTGATATAATTGTAAGAGGCCAGCAAAGGTGCCGGGTTCGGATCTTGGAGAAAAGATCAAATTTCTCTCCCTCTTAAATTTGCATGAGCAACGTTTCTTCGACGTAGCCAGAACAGTGGGATCAGCACGATGTCCTGGTGTGGTTATTCCTGAAAGGACTAGAGAAGCGGCCGTGCTGTCTATGCGACTGCCTCTTAGGGTTGCGTTTCGCCTTGAAACACCTGACAGAATTATCATGCGTAATAATCAGTAAGTGTTGAGCCTCTTTTTGTTTGTTTGCATCCTTGAATAATCAAGACTTCTGAGCGATCATCACATAGGACCGATCGAATCATCTTGCTACTTTAAATAGCCGAAATTTGGCGAATGAATCATAAAATTCACGAATTACATCATGAACGAATCAGGATATAATATTGTTTCTTTTTATCTGGGTTGGACTTTGAATAAATACCTCTTTTTTGGTTACATCCGACCATGGCAAGCGAATATGTTATCTGCCTTGCTTGGAATCGCGTTGTAGCAAGTTAGAGGAAGACTTTCACAGATGCTGAATAGGATGAGCTGTCTTTACGACGAACTCCTCACTATGATTTTGAGGATGATTTTAGTTTATTTGAAAATTGGCATTGAATGAAAAGTTTTTAGATGAATGAAAGTGAAAATTAATCTGTTAAGCTAATGCAAACAGGATTATATGCAAAATAGCCTATGGACTATACACTACTTTCAAGTCCTTTGCTCATTTTTGCGTGGTTTTCCGATCTTGTTCGCGGATTCTTTGATTTCATTAATTTACAAATTAACTTTTCTACAGCTGGTAATTTTCGATGGCAACCTTTTACGACGAAGTTGAGATAGAAGATTTTGAATATGATGAAGAAGAAGAGGCATACTTTTACCCATGTCCCTGCGGTGATCGATTCGTCATTACCAAGTGGATGTTAGAGCAAGGTGAAGAAATAGCAGAGTGTCCGAGCTGCTCTCTGAAATTGCGCGTTATTTACGACCGAGAAAAATTCGTCCGTCATGAAAAGGTGTCCTTTGGTGGGGCCGCGCAGATGGTCGAGAGCTAAAATATGCAATCTTGCAAATCTAAAGAAGATACCTCATTTCTATGAAGTCATTTTTTATGAAATATTTTGTCAGCTTATTTAAATTTAAATCTTCGACTATTTCACCATATCAATTCATTCGGGAAATACTTTCTAATCTTGATAGCAAGACACTTTCAGTTATGTTGCTTGTTTTGATCCGAACTTGGTTGTCCGCTTCCGTTGAGGATGAAGTAAATCTGTTGTGTTGAAAAATTAGCGAGGTCCAGAACTGATAGCATAAACTCTATTTCGTACTACCAGGTACATTTAGCATTCATTTGTTCAGGTCAGTATTACTGATGTAAATGATAGTAACCGTCGCAATTTTAGTAATAGTAGTAATGAGTACCCGTAGTATTGGGTGGTTGTAAATATCAGACAGTTTCGAAATATAGATCATCGATCTTCGATTTCAGACGTCTCTGATTTCAGTATCAATTTGACGGGGAGACGAGTTAGACCTCAGAAATGACGAGACAAGAAAGGTAGATAAATAAAAGTACCTTACATGCTAAGGTAGCAACAAATTTTGGTCTCAACTTTACCTGAAGCTAACAAAGTTGACAACGCTACTCATATCTGATCACTTTGAAATGGTGTCGTAGGTTAAAAGAAAGTTGTTCTTTATTATTTGAAACGATAGTTTCGTTTCCATTTATAGGACCAGTGTGACTCCTCGTAAAGATGTATGCTAACAATTGCAGTATCGAGGAAGTTAGGTTCTTGAGTTAGTTGTATAATACAATAAATGGTATTCGCTGTGTAGAAACGGACGGAATTGGATGTTACACATAGAGTTTCAAAGACTTTCACTTTTTCAAGATCTTTCACTGCGTCTCGTACCGACCCTTGTTTCTAGTCGTTTAGAAGGGTCATTTAAGCTGGCCTTGGTTACAGGGTATTGCGACCTCTGCAGTGTCAAGTCATATTTTCCATTGGAGCCACTTCGAGCTCATCATGAAGAATGTTTCAGGATCTAGACATCATAGATCTCGACATTTATTCGTACACAAGATTGGTATTGCATCGTTCCCCTGCTCATAAGTGCCAAGGTAGGGGATAGAAACTTTTAAACAGGGGGCGACTCTACGGTATTTGAGAACCTGCAGTGGGATCGAGTCCTATTTGAATAGTGCCTCTTCCAAGCAGCTAGAAACGAGGGAGGTGCAACACACCTTGAAATCTAGTCTTGGGATAGTTATGCATTGTCTGACATTGTCCGGCGCACGAACTTGTTTTGATGAATCAGAAAACGAAGTTTTTTAGATTTCTTCAGTAAATAGTACTTAATTTTTCTCTTCCGCTGCTTAAAATTGATGTTCACTTTAACATCCTTTTTTATACTAAAACCATTTCGCCCCATACTGCAATTATGAATTATACGAAGTTTCTTTCCAACGTAGATGAGACATTTGTCCGTAATTTGGTGATCCAGCTGAGGGGGACAATGTGAAAAAATATTGCGATGAACACCTGTAGTAGTTGGAAAAGTATTCCTCATTTAGATAAGATCTCAAGGAGTTTCTTCTACAATATTCAACAGGAAGATGAGAAGATAGTTAACTGTAAATTTTAGTATCCGGAGACGATTGAAGATACCAAAAACGCACGCAAGTAATAACGTAACATGAAAGTATTTGATGTTTATTAACTGTAACATTGTAAGTAAATTACGTCTTAGATTTACTACAGTTCCGATAGTCGTAGTCTACTTTTGAATCTTTAAAAAAAACAAAAATACTGTTTTGCATTTATTATCAGTTAAGTTCAGAAATTCATGTAACATATGGCTGCGAAACGTAGAGCCTACGCCTAAAAGCCATTCATAAGCTGCGCACTACGTAGAATGTAAAGATGTATGTTGAGAATAACAAGAGAAGACTGTAAGAGAAATTAATATGTAAGAGCACAAACAAGAGTGCATTGTCGTTAGACGAGTTGAAGTTGCAATGGGCAGGACACGTTGCAAGATGAACTGATCAAAGAGACCCATTAGGTTTGGATTCAGCAGAGATGAAACGACCGGTAGGAAAATCAGATTGATGGCAAACTGAGCTGGACTAAAATCGCAGAAAACAGAAGTCTTGGATAAGCCTTCATCTAGCAGTGGATCAAAAAAGGCCGATGATCATTGTGAATTCAACATATATGAAAAAATTATTGATTTATTTTCTCGTAATCAAGAAACAGATATTACACGAAGTACAACATCAAACAAATCATTTTCTTTCTCGTAGAGCGCAAGAGCATCCTTTTTAGATGTTGAACAACATTAATTAAGGGGGATAAAGAGATGAATACTGATCGATGAGTGTTGGTTCTGTGATGCAGACGTGAAAGTAGAGACTTACGATAAGTGAACAAAAGATCTGTAAAAATTAGGTAGGGACTTTATTTTGTTCATATTAAAGAATATGACCCTGAAATTCAAACTGCTTGGTTCATATCTGCGGTCTCCGTCTTAAAGATATCAGTTAAATTTGCCAGGAACTGGAGCTGCCTAGAAAATGAATATTATGAACTTGTTAGCACCCAGACGGAAAAACGGCTACCGAAAATGCTCTAATTTATTCACGTCTTGAAACATGTATACCATAAAAAATTATGATCCGAAAAGGAAGTAGAGGACAGGATGTTTCAAAAGTAACTATGTATGTCGTTTGCAAAATTTGCGAATCAGGTTTTACACATTTTATATATGAAGAGAGTTGATTAACTCAGATTCTACGTTCTTTAGTGCCCACTGATGAGTTGATAGTTGAAGCGCTTCCCATTCTGCC